TGCTGAAATGTCACTTCTTCAGAGAGGTCCTCCCTAAACTCCCTGGTCAAAGTCACCTTCCCTTCATTTATTCATCCATTTTTTCCTTCATTTGTGTCATACCATCACGGACACTTACTGTGTCACAGGTCTAGGTGCTCTCGGGGCTCACAGATGGCTAATGGATAAACAAGTCATCATAATCATTTCTGATATGTCAAGAAGGATAAATATGGTGACGTGATAGGAAGCGACAGAGTGGGTGTTGATCAGAGATCTGAAGGGAATGAAAGAACCAGGCCTGGGGAGAGCTGGGTAAACAATGCTCCAGGCAGAGGGAACAGCAGGTGCGAAAGCCCTGAGGCAGGTCGTACCTGGAACCAGAGGAAGGAGTATCTGACTGGAGAAAAATGAGATGGGGCATAGCTGGTGGGGACATTGTGGGACCTGGGCTGCTGGGAGTAGTCCGGACTTTACTCTGAGTGGGACAGGACCTGGGAGGGTTTGGGGCCTTTCTACCACCCAGCTCTGTCTCCTCTGCCATGCAGAAGACGCCCAAAGCACACAGCCCCCCCCCCCATTCAACCATCCCTAATTCCAGCGCCAAATGCTGATTCTTAGCAATAAAGGCTTTGTATTCTTTTTATGTTAAAAAACAAATTCCTCTGGGGAGAAGCTGGGGAACATTATTGTGAGGTTTTTCCCCTGGGGGGAAAAGAAACAGGTATTTCTGAGTGCCATTTACTTTTGAAGCCTGAAGCAGGCATTTTGAAGGTCAAGGAGCCTAGCTGACCCCACTCTTCCTCACCTCCACTCAGTACCTGGACCAGCTCTCCTGGAGCCCCACTAGAGCTGGGTCTCAACTGCCAGCCTCCTACTTGAGAGGGGGTGGGGCGAGGACTGAGATGAATTTATTTATTTGTTTATCTATCATCTATCTATATCTATCTATCTATCTATCTATCTATCTATCTATCTATCTATCTATCTATCGTTTTTATCAAGTTTCCCAATTCTCCGCAGTGGGTTTGTGGTACTTTTATAGTCCGAGTGGGAGAGAGGGACAAATACATTACCCTTAGAAAAGACAGATTTCCCAAATGCAAGCAGAGTGGGAGGGACGCTGGGGGCAGGCATGGGTGGGGGGTGGGGGGGCAGCCTCCAAGCGCGAAGTTATTCTGGTCTCTCCCGCGCCTCTGCAGCTGGCAGGCTTTTTATAAACAAGTCCGGTTCCCCACCCCTCCACTCCCCAGCCCGCTCCTGGGGAGGAATCAGGGCGATCAGGATTCTCCTGGAACCACAAGTACCTTAATGAATCCGGGGACTTGGAGGGAGTTGGGGGCAGGGACTTGGAATGAGGCCCAGGGTCTCATTCTCCTGCCTCCTGAAATTCTTTTCCTCTTCAAGATTTGGGTGAAAAAACAATGGAGCATCTCAGCCTCCAAAGTCCCCACTCTGAATCTTGTTTCCTCAGGTTGGAGGGAAGGGGTAGTTCCGGCCCTGTCTTTAACTTAGGAACCAGGGAGGGGTGAAGCTTCTTCCATCATCCCCTTTATTGTTGGGTCTCTAAGTCTCGCTCTTACCTTCCCTGTTTCCTGGGTCTTTCATCGCACGCTTTGCGGTTTAGGCGACAAGACGTTTCTCTGCCCTACTTCCACTTTTTCTTTGGAAAATAGGTCTCAGAGAGGGGAGGGGTTCTCCGAGCATCCCTCAGACCCTTTCCTTCTTTTCTGGGAATTGGTGGGGAGGGGTGTCTCTCCTGATCCCTATTTTTTCTTTTCTTTTTTCTTTTTTAGGCGAGGCAACCCTTGGTTGACCTCACAGATTGCAAGGAACTTGTCATCTTACAATCCCTTATTTTTTAATATTTTTACGCCTACAGCACCTGGTCTTCCTAGGTGGTCTCCCATCCAAGTACTAACCAGGCCTGACCCTGCTTAGCTTCCGAAATCAGATGGGATGGGGCTCGTTCAGGGTAGCAGGGCCTTAGACTCTAGTTTTTCTTTTAGCTTAGAAACAGGGTCGTGCATCTACCAGCCCAGCCCACTTTGAGGGTCTTACACCTCAGAAATTGGATAAGGTCTCTCTTGACCTCTATTTCTGCTTTTACTTCTTTTGTACGTATTTATTTGAACTCGATATATAGGGGGAATGGAGAAGCTCTCTTCTATTTTCTATTCCTCTTTTAGGAAGTTGGGAATAGGGGGAGTTTGACGGGAGGTCACAGCAACTCTTCCTGGGTGGGGGCCGCCGGATTGTCCCACTTTGGGGTACAAGGGTGGGGAAAGGGAACGCCCCCTGAAGATCCTTGGTCAGCCAAGGCCTTAGCCTCTCGTCCCTTCAACTGCTCAGGAGCCATCATTGGATAGAAGGAGGAAGGTAATAATCTCTGATTGGCTACTCGGCCATCACTCTACTGCTTAAGCTGTTGGGAGGGTTCCGCGCAGCCCCGCCTCCATGACACCGGGTCGAGGCGGAGCCAGGAGGCGATCCCTCCCCTCCTGCAACGTCCACGCCCTCTACTGGATGTGTACTCTGGGCCCCGCCCCATTTGCGCGTCAATCTGAGCGGGAGTCCCGCTGCTCCTGGCTCTGCGGGCTCAGTGAACCACATCTCCAGGCGCAGCTCCGCCCCAGGATGGCGTCACGGTCACATCTGCATATGAGGCCCCGCCCCGCTCTTTGCAGGACGTCACTGCTGACTGCAGGGGCCTGAGCCGCTGCTGCCGCCGCCGCAGCCGCTGCCGCGCATCCCCACATCAACGCACTGGGGACCCGTCACCGCCTCTGCCAAAAGAGTCGCCGCCGCTAAGGTCGCCACCGCATCGGTGCACGGCAAGGTGAGAACCCAGGCAGTCTGGTGCACTCCTGCTTGGAGCAGCTAAATAACCTTCATTTGACTGATGGGCTGGCGGGGGCGGGAGAAGAGGTTGGCAAGGGTTAAATGGGGGGAAGAAAGCGGTGGTCGCAGGCCTGGGGCGAGGCAGGGCCCCGGCTCCCTCTACCTGCCGGATCCTCACGCCCCTACCCCCCAACCCCAGCTCTGCGGTGGAGGGGGAGGGGATGCAAGTGCCTTGCGGGAAGCTGCGTGCGCGTGCGCAGGGTGTGCACACGCGTGTGCGCGCCCGCCTGTGCCGGTGGGTCTGTGTGTATCCTTGCGTGCGTACCTGGGTATGTTCGTGTGACTCCGTGGCGCCTGACCCAAGTATGTGCGTGCTGCACGCTTGTGAAGGGAGACGCGTGGATTGTATGTGTGAGTGCACGGCCGTGTGCATGTGTTTGGGGATGCGTGCCAGGGTGGGTGACGTGTACACGCCTGCATGGGTGAAGGGCGCCGTGTGCACGGGTGGGTTTGTACATCTGTATATGCATGTTCGTGTGGGTGTGCAGACAGGTGTCTACATCTCTGCCCTGTGCACGGTGTGTTCGACCCTCATATGTCGAACACCCGTGTATGGGTGTGTGCCCTGCTGCGTGGACGTGAGCGTGTGCACGCTCCGCCTATATCACGTGATATAGCTGCCTCAGTTTGAGCTCTCCCAGCCTGGGAGTCTAGGAGAAGAAGGGCTGCAGAGGTGCATCCCTTCGGACAATCCACGTGTGTACGCCTGTGCTCCGTGGACCCGTGCTCGGTTCTGAGGAACATAAATGATTGATAGGGGTGGGGCTGGCCACACTCACCCCCTGACGGCACAGCTGTAGGGGTTAGAGTTACAGCAAGACTTGGGGTACAGACCTGCTGGAGAGGGTGTCCCCATTTCTGTTGCTCTGAGCTTTTCCCTGAAGCCCCTGGCCTTTTAAGGTCACAGCCCCCTCTCTGCCACCAGCTCCACGGTTAGAACTGGGGCTTCTGGTGGGATGAGGGTAATCTCCACATGCTGGTCCCTTTTTGTGGTTCTGGAGTTCTCCCCATTCAGTGCCTGTACCTGGGATGGCAGGGGACCCTTCACGTTCGCCTGTGCCCCATACCCTTAGATGGCGTCAGCCACAGACTCGCGCTATGGGCAGAAGGAGTCCTCAGACCAGAACTTTGACTACATGTTCAAGATCCTCATCATTGGCAACAGCAGTGTGGGCAAGACATCTTTCCTCTTCCGCTACGCAGACGACTCCTTCACACCTGCCTTTGTCAGCACTGTGGGCATCGATTTCAAGGTCAAGACCATCTACCGCAACGACAAGAGGATCAAGCTGCAGATCTGGGTGGGTCCAGCTGGGGGACTCCTAGCTCCATCGCTTTCCCTTCCTGAAACAGCAGCTCCAGCTTTGCCTCTTTCCTGTCTAGATTCATTCATTCATACACTGGGCATTTATCATGTACCTATCCGTGTACCAGAGGCACAGAAGAAAGCACCCCTGCTTTTCCATTGGAGCCTATTTAGTGTTCTCCAGGGCTGGGGGAGCAGCCAATGCTGGGTCCTCTCCTACCCCTGGTATTGGCAGAAGCATCACTGGACTTGGTGCCTCAGTTTCCCCAACTGCAAGTTCTTCCATGTGTCTGAGGTTTCACTGGATCTTGGCCCCGAAACTCATTGCTTGGAACAGGCACGGGTACCTCCTCCAGGGTTGCCTGGCTGCCTCCTCCACCCACACAGAGGCCTGAAGAAGCCTGTTAGCTCCCACCCATCCCAGGGCTCCCACTTTATGCAGAGTAAACCCTGCACCCCTCCCCAGGCCTAGGAGACACTGTCCGGTCTGTCCCGGTGATACCTCCACCTTAGTCTTTCTCTTCATTGTTGCCTCAACCCCCTCACCATTCTTCAAATGTACCAGGCAGTCCCACAGCAGTCTGCCCCAGCAATGCCCTCTGCCTGCATTGTCCTTCCCCTGATCTCCACATGGCTCCCTCTTCCATTTCCTTTGGGTTTTCAAATCCTACCCTAGCCTACACTGCCCGTCCCTGTCAGGCTTTGTTTTCTTCCTCAGTCCTTATTGCCCTCCAACATAGGATACATTTCTCTTTTCATTGTCTATTTTCTTTTCACGTTTATTGTCTATTTCCTGCACTGAGCTGCCAGTTGCACAAGAGCAGTGATTTTTGTCCATTCTGTTTACAGCTGTGTCCCCAGTGCCCACTGTGGGGTGTGGCACAGGGCAGTGCCCTGAACATGTGTACCGATGAATGAGGGAGCAATATTGGACTCTATAGGATGATCAGAAACCAAGCTCTCCCTGACCCTGTGCCTCTGGGCAAACCCCCCACTCCTCTCTGAGCCTCAAGGGGGCTGGACTGAACGATCTCAGAGCTCATTTCCACTATGAGGAGCTTACATGTGGGTCCTCTCTGATCCTGTCTCTTCCCCAGGACACGGCGGGACAAGAGCGATACCGAACCATCACTACAGCCTACTATCGAGGTGCCATGGGCTTCATCCTCATGTATGACATCACCAATGAGGAATCCTTCAACGCTGTGCAGGACTGGTAAGCACACCCCCAACCCCTCTCAGACTGTCTTCTGAGCCAGGCTTGGTGCAAAGCTTGGGGCTAAGGCTGATGAGGGAGCCCCAGTCCCATTATTGGGGTCTCAGACCCGCTGTCAATCTATAATCATTAAAACACAGCATCATCAGCTCAAAATAATAACAAAGGATTTCAGGTAGAAAAATGAAAATATAAATATACAGAAAAAAATACAGAGGAGAGAACAGAAAATATAAGGACAGTTGACACAGGTTAAAGGACATAAACATTTATATTTTTTGCCCAAAAGTAATGATAAATTTTAAGAAAATTTCTGATTTTGCTGAGGAGGGAGAAATACTTCTCTCCAGGGACAGAGATCTGGGAAGGGAGAGTTTGCTTGAAAAGAGAGATTTCCAAGATCAGGGAATTGTGGGAACAGACACTCAGAGATAGGAGAGTTGTTGATAGGGTAGAGCCTGGAGGAAGAAGTGAACCTGACATGTTCCAGGAATAATGGGGACCTGGGGTGCTGAAGTGGGGTGGGGGAGTGGAGCTCTGATCCTCTAAGCCCTAACCCAACCCTGTTGCCCCCTCCTCTAGGTCAACCCAGATCAAGACTTATTCATGGGACAATGCTCAGGTGCTGCTGGTGGGGAACAAGTGTGATATGGAGGATGAGCGGGTGGTATCATCAGAACGCGGCCGGCAGCTGGCTGACCACCTTGGTGAGTGCCCGGCAGGGCTGGACACCTACAGGCTAGAAGAGGGACACTAAAGCCCTGAGAGGGGTGGGGACGCATCCAAGGTCTGTCAGCAAAGCCAGGATAGGAGTCTGGATTCAAGTCCAGACTATTTATGATTTCTGCAAACTGGCCTTGACACAAGAGCTACGTGAGATGGATCTTGATGGATGCGTAAGAGTTCACTCTGCAGAAGTTACTGATTCACTCTGACATTCTCACTGCCTAATCTCATGCTAGGTGTTGCTGGGCCCAGGAGAGGCCTCCAGCTTTGTAGAGTAGCAGGAGGGACCTGGGATGGGAGAATCCAGTGGGGAGCCAGGCTCTGCCTGGCATAGGTAAGGCTTCAAGGGGTGGAGAATCTTGGAGAATGGTGCTTGAAGAAGGGGTGGTCTTTCAGGGAGAGGAAACAGCTCGGGCAGAAGCCATAGGTGGGAAAGATTCTATGCATTTTGGCAATAGTTTTACACAGGTCACTGGGAGGAAATGTGGCCAATATGCAGGGCCTGACCACGTGAAGAGCTGGGACTCTTCTGAGGACAATAAGGAGCCACAGAGAGTGTGTGAGCAGGGAAGGACAATGCTGGATCTGAGTGTCAGATGCCACCAGGGCCAGTGCATGGGGCTGGGCTGGGTGGTGAGAACAGGGGGCAAGGTAAAGGGGATAGTTTTAGGGTGAAGAAAAGAGTGTAGAAAATACAGAGCTGACCAAGTTCAATGTTATTTCCCTATGGGACTTGCCAGTGCCTTTACAGTGTGGTCAACACTGGGAACATCCAGGTATTTCTAGCTTCAGAGAAGTGTCTCTGAGAGTGGGGAGCCCAGGGTCTTCATCCCCCCTTCCCTGACCACAGGGTTCGAGTTCTTTGAGGCAAGCGCCAAAGACAACATTAATGTCAAGCAGACCTTTGAGCGCCTGGTTGATGTCATCTGTGAGAAAATGTCTGAGTCACTGGACACGGCTGACCCCGCGGTCACAGGCGCCAAGCAGGGCCCACAGCTCACGGATCAGCAGGCGCCCCCGCACCAGGACTGCGCCTGTTGAGAGCTGGCCCACCCATCCTGGCCCCCACCCTTGCCCGCCTCCTCCTCCAGGTTGACCCAGATCAAGACTGGGCCTGACCTGGTTCCCCTGGCTATGGGCGTGAGACCCCTGTCCTGACTTAGCCCGTCACCCATATTTATTATTGTAGCTATTTATTTATTGGAGATGTCCACTGGGGGCTCGGCACCCCACCCACCCACCACACCCTGTACAGACAGTCCTATCCCCGCTCTGCCGTGGCGTGTCGTGGCCCCTCAAACTTACCACTCCCCCTCCTCTCCAGACCCACCTTTTTAAAAATTCACCCCCATCAATAGTTCTGTTTTGAAGAGGGGACCAGATGACACCTGAGGGCAGGGTGACCAGGTGGTGGGAGGTGGACAGGCCTGCCAGCTGCTTGGCTGTGACATAGTGGGCTGAGACCATGGCGGGGTCTCAGCATGGACCACAGGGTGGGTCAGAGCCAGACAATGGCCCTCCTGGCTCCTGGGCCCCCAAGGTTTTACGTTTTTTTGGAGGGGAGGCTGCAGTGGGTACTCACCACCCTGGGAACCCCCGTTTTCCTCACAGACTCGTCTGATGTCATGAGTGTCAAACTTGTCCCCAGTTCCCTAGAAGATGTCATGAAAACACTACACACATCCAATAAAGCGAATGGACAACGCTGTGCTCTTGTGCGTGCCACCTGCCAGCGCTGGCTGTGGTTGTCCACAAAGTTTTCAATGACAAGAAAATTTAATGGAGTTTCCACAGTGCATGACCAGAACATGACAGTGGTGCTGCCCAGCCCTTCCTAAGCCTCCAGATCCTGGTAGCCAACTCCAGGCCAGGCCCTGCTCTGACAGGATGGGTGATGTCCCCACCTTGGTTCTAGGGCCCAGTGCTAAGGATGGGACATCCTGGTCCCTGAGGCTCCCAGTAAGAAGGGCTGAGGGATGACTATTGATCTTCATGGCTGTGTTCCAGATGAGGAAATTGAGGCTGGTAGTGGGCTTGGAAGGGGTAGCCCAGTCAAGATGCCCAGGAGTTGGGGTAGGGCTGGGACTTGGCCCAGGACCCTGGCTTGGACTGCTACAGGAGCCCCTTCACCTTCCTGCCTAGGCGAGTGGTCAGCTAGAAGTCACTTTTGCCCTGTTTGGCATCTAGTTGGGGGATAGAGTTGCCCAGTATGTACTTTGCCCAGGGTCACTCAGCCTGGGGGCGTCAGGGGGCCTGGGATCTGTCCGCACAAGAGGATCTGGTCAGGTGCTGCACTCATCCCTCCAGGAGGAGCCCTCTTCCACCTGTCTGGGGGCTGAGGTCAGCCTGGCTGGAAAGGCGCAGCAGGGACCCGGCAAACGTCCCATCAGACAGCTGAAAGGGGCTCGGTCTTCATCCTGCTGTGATCAGCTCTCCGCCTACTCACCGTAGAGTGTGAGTTGTCAAGGGCACAGGAGGCCCTTACCCTAGAGGGGAGCTGTAGTGCCTTTTGGGGTTCACATTTGTGGCTTCTGAGGAGTCCCCTGGGTGCCTGATCTGTCCACTGTGTTCACCCGGTACTTCAGGTAGGAGAGGTACGTGTCCCAGCCCAGTGTCAGGCCATTGATGTAGGTGACTCGGAACTGGGGGGGCACGAAGAGGAAGTTCACCAGCTGCGCTGCCGGCCACACGCACCAGTCAGCCTGTGAGGAGGGGCAGATTGTGGTAAGGAGTGGGACCAGGAGGGACCTGGGCAGGGCCTGGTGGCTGTGAGGGGTGGGGCGAGAGGGCTGTAATGGGGTGGAGACGGAACAGGATGGACAGGGCCTGGTAGGGCACACCCACCTTGTAGAATTCCCAGAACTTGTCCCGCAGCTCCTGGCAGCTCTGGTCCAGAGTCTGGCCCTCTAGGCAGCCAAGGCCTGGGAAGGGAATGAGAGTGTCAGAGGCTGGAGAGTACGGATGATGGAGTGGGTGGGGCAGGACACCCTGAGGGATAGTGTCCCAGGCAGGGGAACCGGGACATTTAAAAGCTGTGCAGTAGGAAGAGCAGTACAGTAGGGTGGCAGGTGTAGAAAAACAACACAGATCAAGTGAGTCCCAGGTTATAAACACGTACCTGGAATGATGGAGACACACCATTCCTGATGCTGAGGCTGTTTTATTAACTGTCTGGGGAGTGGGGCGGGGAGTGGGTGAAGACTTTCTTCTCAGAACCAAGGGCTGGGGTGACTGTGCCCCATCAAACACCAGTCTAGGCTCTTCTTCCTTCAGCCTCAGGGCCTTTGCACGGGCTGTTCCTCTGCCTGTTCCTCTGGCTGCTGGCTCCTTCTTCAAGTCTCAGCTGAGTTCCTCTCCTTTGGGAAGCTCTCTCAACCACCACCCAGGGCAGCCCCATCAGATACTGTCCTCATCCTTCCTACACTTAGCACCATTGTCTGATTCTGCCATTCACACCTGTCCCCACTGGGTCTGTCCTGTCACCACTGTGATCCAGCCTCCAGTCCAGGGCCACCCACACAGGAGGTGCATCAGAAATGTACCTTGGCCTCCTTAACACAAGGCTGGCTCTGTCCCCCACCCCTGACCTATGAGGGTATGCAAGGCCCAAGCTCATGGAGCTCCTTACCCAAAAAGTACCAGACACCCAGCAGGGGAGAGGCCACCAGCTGGTCGACTAGGACCTTCCTGAGGATGTTTGGAAGACTGCGGAGGCCAGATGCGGGGAGCAGGTGGTCCAGCCAGAGGTACCAGTAGTGCAGGAAGGGGCCCATGGTGCAGCCCACCGCAAACATGCTCGCTGAGGGCAGTCCAAGAGTCAGGGGGACCATGGTCAGTCAGGCAAACTTCCCAGTCCACTCCCTCCTTGGCTAAGACCTGGGTAAGCCTGATGCCCTCCCAGAGCCCACCCGGATATTCCCAGCCCCACCACCAGGCACCATTCCAGGTCTCTTCCCTTCACCACCCTGAGAGGGTGGTCAACCATCGCCTGGCTTTCAGAGGAAGAAAATGAGGCATAGCGATCCCAGGGCGGGCAGCGGTCCAGAGACCACGCCCTTGACTGACCCGGGTGCAGCCCCCTGTGCTCAATGCTCGGTCCCTCAGTGCAGGAGGGGGTGGGCGGAGACGAGACCCCGTGAATGGGAGTGGAAAGAAACCCTAGGTATGGGAGGGAACAAAGACCCTGGCTGGAGGGTAAGGAGACCCCCGAGTTGGAGGAGACGGAGATCCCGGGAAGAGACCGGGGGTGGAAGGGGAGATCAGGGGAGGGGCAGTCAGCCTCTAGGGTGCACGCGGAGATCAAGGGTCCTGCCGAAGACTCCGGCCAGGGGTTAGAGGTCGCGGCCTGCGGGTCCAGTCCAGGGGTCTCCAAATCTGAGGTCGGGGTCAAAAGTTCCCCGAGGTCAAGGGCCAGCAACCCCAGCCTCCTCACCTGAGCGCCGCGGGTCAAACTTCTGGCCTGGCCGGGCGCGGATCTCCCAGGACTGGCGCGCGCCGTCCCCGGCCACCATGAGCACGCCGCAGCCCAGCGTATTGGTGACGAGCAGCGCACGGCCTTGGAATAAAGGCTGCCCCGCTGTGCACAGGCCGCGCAGCCACCGCCAGCCACCAGACGCCATGGCGCGCCGAGACTCAGGAACTGGGGCACCGGGACCGACCAATCCGGCGTCCCCGCTGCGCTGTTGTTGACCAATCACTGACCGCTCCCACTCTGCCCGCGCTCTCTTCCCTAGTAGACCTCCAGATTTCCAGATTCTCGCGGAATTCCTGAGAGAAGTCCAGCCTGTGGCCCTGACAGCTACCGGGGCGGAAGTCTCATCCCTCAAAGATTCAAGGAAGTGGAGGCGAGGCTACAGTTTCGCTGCGCGCGCAGCCCAATCAGAGCCAGGTCCAGATACTGACCTTGGAACTGACTTGAGCTGGGCATCTGACCTCAGTTACAGAATAATGATAATAAACATATCGCTCACTGTTCCGGGAACATGACGCGCATTAATTTATTTCACAGCAACTCTGCTGCTGTGCAGATAATTATATTCCCATGTTACTTCCTGTGTTCCTGTAGGGGAAATGTGAATTTCAACGGAAACCTATGCATTACTTACAGGAACAGAGTATCGCAAACTACAGCCTGCGAACCAAATCCTGCGAACCAATCACTGTGTTTTTGTGAGCTAAGAATGTTAAATTTTTTCATTAGTCTGGAAAAACCAAAATAATCTGAGGCATGTGAAAATTATATGAAATTTAAACTTCTGTGTCCCTAAATAAAACTTTATTGGAACACAACCATGCCCATTTTTTTCCTGTAGTTTACTCATTCACTAAAATGAGTAGTTGCGACAAAGACTTCAGCCTGTAATAAGTAAACCATTAAATCGCCTTGTATTACTGGACACCTTTCAAGGTTTTTTGATTCTGATTATACTGGAACTTTTTCTAAGCTCTGTAGTTATATCTGGTAACAATAAAAAAAATTTTTGCCTATAGGCATGCAAATGAACTGTCAGGTGGAGAGACACTCCCCCCAATTATTTTTTGCCTTACTTTGCATATTTATTTTAATATCCCTGATTTGTCTGTTCTTTGGATCCCCTTTGAAGTGGTAACACCTAACCAGTTCTCCTCATTGAGTTAACAATTTTTAACACATGCTCATTTTTACATCTGTACAAGAGTCATGATTTTAACTTTTCTGGGAAAATTATCCTTCAGCATTTCCTGTTGCTATCAAGTACCTCAGCCTGTTATTCTAGACTTTAAATTTTACTGAATGTTGATGGAAAAGTTCCAGCGTGATTAAAAGGGGAAAATAGTCAAATTATGATTCATGGGACAATCAGGTAAACTTTGTCGACAACCATGTTCAAGAAACCAAGTTTCATTTTTGAGAACCAATGTTTACAAAGTCCTCACAGGAAAACTGGCTCACTCACACCTGGCTTGCAGGGTCAGTCTTATAGGTTGGTTCAGGTTGGTTTAAGACCCTTCAAATATTTTGGGGATGGCAAAAAGGGAGCAATTCACTAAGAGGCACCGATACTCGTGGAGTTTCTCATCTTGAGTTAGCCAATGATAGAAGCTTTCCTTTTTTTTCGTTTATTTTCGTTTTCAATTACAGTTGACAGTCAATATTATTTTATGTTAATTTCAGATGTACAGCTAAGTGGTTCGACATTTATATAATTTAGAAGTGATCCCCTGATAAGTCTAGTACCTTCCTGGCACCAAACATTTTTATTACAATATTATTGATTACATTCCCTATGCTGTACTTTTACATCTCTATGAATATTTTGTAATTACAAATTCTTAATCCCTTCACCTTTTCCACTCGGCCCTCCCAAACCCTCTCCCATCTAGCAACTATCAGTTTGTTCTCTGTATCTATGAGTCATTTCTGCTGATAGAGTCCCATCTGAGATTGCTTACAGAGACTTCTTGCAAAGCAAACTGAACGCCTACTGTACCTGTGTAAATTATCAGGGCAAACTCAGTAAGATCTGCCAAAGAAGGCCTCTGAGATTCTTTTTAACAAAGGGGACAACATATTATTTGTCCATAAAAAGAAAAGAGAGAGAGAGAGAGAAGGAAATCCTGGTATTTGTGACAATGTGGAGGAAACTGGAGAACATTATGTTGAGTGAACTAAGTCAGGACAAATACTGTATGATCTCACTTACATGTGGAATCTAAAAAAGTCAAAATCAGAACAGCAATTGCCAGGGGCTGGGGGTGGGGGATGGAGAGATGTTACAACATCCAGAAGTGTTTATTAAATTGATTCTAACATAGCACCATTCTCAGTGGGACAAGATTCTTGATCTTGGGGCAAAATGTTGAGGCTGGGCTTCATGGAATGGAATGTGTAAGTTATCTGGATGACAAGCCACTGAGTCAGGATCAGAAAAATGGAGCTCAATCTTCATCAGCTCCCTCCAAGTGCAACAGCTATCACTTGAGGCAGACGTCCCTATGGGAGCTGGTCATGAATGGACAGACATCTGGCTTCTTACCCTAGAGGAGGTAGCCATGAGTTGGGGTCCTGAAAGAAGACCTTACCCCCATTTGCTAAATCTCACTGTTGTCTATCCACCTTACCTGGTACAATTGGCACACGAGGGATAGGAGCTGGCTCATATCATCCAAGGGTTTCTGCACAAAGCAAGACAGGGATCACAAGTGCCACCTGCCCTGACCAACCCCTGCCCAGTCCAGAAGGGGCTGCAAATGGCTCTGAGTCTGGCCCCTGCCTTCTGCCTCCCAGACTGGTGGGCACATCCATTATGCTGGTCCCTGCTTGGTGGTCAAGCTGAGGGCTACAAGAGTTCTTACCCCATTGACGACGACCCAAGGCACATACTCGTGGGGCGGCTGTAGAGCATCGGTTAGCTGGGCGTTCATGTGCAAGAGCTGCATGCCACGGTCCCCCATTGCACACTCCATGATGGTGTCGGGGGACACCTTTGGGGCATAGATCTGCAGGCACTGAAGGCAGAGGTGGGCTGGTGAGCTTCAGTCTCCTCCCTGTTATCTCCCTAACAGTCCCCTCACGGGCCCACAAGCCAACTCTCTGATTCTTCACTGGCAACAGGGGACAGTTGGGTCCACAGTGATGCAACAGTGCTTGTAAACAGCAAGTACTTATACATGCCTGAGCAGAGGCCCCTGAGGCAGGGGCTCAGGCTGCTCCTGCCTCCCCTACAAACCAGACCCACAGCCTCTGACCCCTACATTTTTCTCAGAGCTTCCATCTGTGCTGTTCCCTCCACCAGGAACACTTATCCTCCAGCTTCCTTAGCATCTCCTGAGGGCTTCCTCCTCCTCTGCACTCCCTTAGCCCCACTACGGATGTGCAGGGCTGGGGTGTCTCAGGGTGTGGTCTTCTGGGTGGCCCGAATGTTTGATGAATGAATAAATGATCAGGGCAGGTGAGTCACTCTTTTGGGAGTTCTTTTTCATAATCCTCCAGGGAGGTAGGCGGGGCTGTCTTGTCATCCCCATACCCCAGAGGAAGATCATCTTTTGTGTCCCTGCACATTCCTGTTCATCTGAGCCCAGCTCAGAGGCTCCTCCTAGAGAAAACCCTCTCTGATCTACCCATGCCCCAAGAAGATCCTCCTTCCCTTGATTCAGAGATTGAGCCTTTGAGAGGGAAGAGCATTTTCCTGGGGATATACAGAGGAGTGGCGGTTGGGGCCAGGACTTGAACCTGGGTCTGTCTGGGTGCAGGGAAGGCCAGGGTCTCCCAACCTGGGCCAAGTGAGACATGTGTCACTCACCGGCTTCAGATTGTTCTCCATGTCATCCATTTCCTCTAAGCAGACAATGGTCAGGAAGGCTATGTCCTTCTCCAGCTGGTCCAACAGGCAGGCCTGAGGGTGGGAGGTGGACAGGCAAGGATGTGAGAGGGGCTCAGAACACCCCAATACCATTCTGAGAATAATCACAGGCATCTACTAATGAAGTTATGAATGAAAGCATTATTAAATGGAGGCACATGGGCAGGGTACAGAGCTGGTCCCAATGTCCTCTGAGCCTGGATTTCACCTTCATTACCACCTGCAGTCTCCTTGGCCTCTGTGCCGCCTAAGAGGGACTCTGGGGAATGCTCACCTCCACCTTGTTAAGCTTGCACTCCTCCTCCCCGTGCTGGCACGTGAATTCCCATTTGCCACTGACGTTCTGTTCCTGCAAGACAATAGGGTGAATGCTGGCGGGCCGGCAGGGTACCTTCCAACCCTGGTCAGATGCCTTGGTTTCCCTGGTGCCCATGTACCTTGGCATTTCCATAGGGCACCAGAGTGACATTGAGGATCTCTAGGACCATCAGCCATGTTGGGAAGAGCTCTCGAACCAGGAAGCCCCGGCAGCCTGGGCACAGCGCCTCATAGTAGAGGCTCACGTTGACAGGTGGCGAAGAGGATTTTCTGAGGAGCATCTGCGGGCAAAGGTCGCCGGCCTGCTTGGGAGGAAGGAGTATAAAGTGAGGGCAGCCCTGCTTGGTTCTCTTGAAGAAAGGGAGCCATAAATAGTAAGTGCTCCTTCCCACTCCTGACTCTAAGGCTTTATTGTGTCCCTGAATCTGTCTGCAAAATGGATATGACAGACTTGCAAACAGTAGACACTTAACTCGTGCATAGCTCTTGCTTTCCTCCAGGTGAGGTGAAACCTCTGGCTCGGGGCGGGGGACTGTCTGCAGTTAGGACTCAAGGCAAGCACATTTCTGGTCTCTGACCTCAATCCTGCCTTCTCTGAGGTGCATAACACAGATTAATGCATGCTCATTTGTTGCCACTTTATGCCCAGATCCTTGGCCCTACACTTGCCCTGACTCCTCTTCCCCTCAAGGGGCTCACGTGCCCACTGCGGATTTAGCGCCTAATAAGTGCTGACTTCCGACTTCAGCTAAGGGGTGGCAGGCATCCAGGTGCGAGCAAGTCGCTCAACCTCCGGGGCATGTGTTTGCTCCGCAGCAGAAACACTCAAGCTCTTTCCTGGTCAAAGTGCACCCAGTAGACAGCATCTGAGAGCGGGTGCCATGAACGGGCTTGTCTGGGCTTCCTCAGCCTGAGATGGAAAAGCGAAAGGACTCTGAGAGTGTGGCCACAGTACCGGAAATTAAATAGGGGGATTTTCCGCACCGACGGGGCGCGTCCCCTCCAGACCCTGGGCTCTTCTGGCCAGGTCTGGAGAAAGGAAAGAGCCCCTTGCCCGACTTGGGTGCCGGTCCCCGCTGCCCACAGGCCGCGTCGCCGTTCCTACCTTGCAGAGGGCCGACCCCTCGGGGAGTGCGTCCAGCAGGGACGCGGGCGCCGCCGCGGGGAAATGGAGCAGCAACAACAGCACCGGCAGGAAAGGCAGGCACGGCAGGAGTGGAGACAGGGCCATCATAGCTTGGGCACAGGCGCAGCTGCAGGAGGAGCGCCCGGGGGAGGGAGCAGCCTTTAACCCAGCGGTGGCCCTGCCCCCAAGCAGGACCCGCCTCCCGGGGCATACGCCCCTCGGGGCCGACTGGCACCTCTGGGTGTCTGCACTTCTTTTTCTGGGTCTTTCTTTACAACTCGCCTCCGCCCCTACCGCCGCTAGGTGCTGGGCGGGCAATCAAGAGGCCGTCGAGCCGCTCTGAGGTCCCCCCCCAACCCCGTCCCTCGCAATCAGGCACGGCCGCCCAGTCATGTGAGGCTGGGGCCTGAGCGCCTGGCTGGGGCTTCCGGGGTGGTCCGGTCCGCGTCCCTAGTCCCGAGACCCCCGTACATTAACGGTGGGTGACGCCCTGCCTGGGAGTGGGAGTGGGCATGGGCTGCACAGCCAGGCCTCTTCCTTTTAGCCCGTCTCGGGACATCCCGCACTCCCTACCCTCCCTCTGTCCACCTCCCTCCCCCACCAACACACACCCGCTCCCGCTCTCAAGCCCAGATGCTGGGTCCCGAGGGGCTGACTCAGGCTTGACCACAGCTGGGCCAGAAAGCAGAAGCTAGCGTGAGAGGGGAACTCACTTCTCTTGGTCCCCAAGCCCTGGCTGGGGATTAGGAAGAGGAAAGCCGGCGTTTCTTCTTCCCACCGTCCCAGGCTCTGGAAGGGAGGTGCATCCTGGCCCTTAGCGTGCTCGGTGGGGGGAAGAAAAGCCCGGATTTGAGCAGTAATTACCCGAAGCCTGTACTATGTCCATGGGGTGGGAGGGTGGGGGTGGCCGTG